TCCACCCTTTGAAATTTAACACTGTATGAGAGAATATTTGGGATTGAAAAATAATGTTAAGATAATATATCCTCACAGACTCAGAGCTTTGAATGCATCGATTCTAGAAGAGTCTTGATTAAATAAATGTGTGATTTAAAAACTCTTGCATTCTGATAAATTCTCAAAATTAAGTTTCTTATGAAAGAAGATATCTGAGGGAATAGATATGGATACTTATTCTCTATTTAAATATCAGAGATTAACAACCAAACCCTGGGGTGTTTGGTAATTAAAACTAAGTCACACTTTCTGTTAAAAACTACCCAAAGATTTCAGTGAAGTTCTATTTGTTTGTAATACTGGAAATACAATGTCTTCCATATGACAATACTGAAGACATTGGTAGAGTAAACTGCTTTGTTAAATTAGATGTGTTTAGAAAGGGAGAAGAAAGGTAGAATTTAGCCATCATTTATTACCAATCATGAAATAATCAAAATCTTACTACAGACACCTATCACAAACCCTCTCATAAAGCTGTTCTGTAATCCCTAGTTCATTCGCCTACAAACTTATTGCCTATACAATTCTCCACTGCTGATGGTTACTTAAACAATATATAGTAGAAGCTAATATGTTTAAACAAAATTAATGGTATGAATTTATTGAAAAAGGCTAGTGTTGCAAAATATAGAAGTATCATCTCAGTGTAAATAGTAGTTAATGTTATTTTGTAGACTGAATAAATGGAAAGAAAGTAGCAGTTTTTTCATAAAGTAAAAAATATGTAACTATTGAAAATAAATACTTGTGGTGATTTTTTTAAACTACAGGTCTTAACATTCACTCATTTCTATTCAGTAAAATAAATTGTACATGCTGTGTGCCTAGTAGCATTTAGGGTTTCATAGAAGATAAGAGGATTATAGTGAAACTTTCTTATCCATCAAATAGTTTATTTTTCATTTGGGGCAATAAATTAGTAACAAAAAAAAGTTAAAAGTAATACATGACAAAATGTATGTCAGGCCCATTCTCTAGGTGAACAGGGAGAGAATACAGAGGGTATTTTAACCCTCTGTATTAAAATAAAATAAAAGTTTCTATGGAAGAGAAGAAATGCAAAGCATCCATCAGAAGAGGTAAGTAAATAGAAAATGGAAGACAGTTTAGCCAACACATGAGAATGGAGGGTGATCTTCTCATGGGAGAGTGGGGAGAGTGATGGAACCAAAGAGTTAAAGGTCTAAATAAGTGAATTGATATAGATCAGGGAAGCAGACAGCCTGATGAAAGCCCTGCTTTAGGAAAAGTTCTTGGATGCTGATGCAAATTCAACTTGATACCAGAAGGTATTGTAACAGTTTGAAGAAAATGAACTGACATTGTTTGAGATATCATTGCAATTTTATGTTGAAAAATAATATCAATGGATGCATGTAGTCATTTCTATTCAAGCAGAAAATAATGGTTTTATAATTTCCCACTTTGTATATGTGTATAAAACAAATGATGCTAACAATTACCTATCAATATACATAGATCTTGCCTAGAGCAAGATAATTTAAACACATCCTCATCTTTCACAAAATGTGCAACTCAAATTAATGAGTCTGTGTTACTGATTATAATAAAAATGTGATTTATATGCAAGTGATCTCCAGACCTTGGAGTAAACCAAATGACAAATTAATTCTTGTGAACTTGATAATTCCAAGTGTCTATTGGAAATATGTATGCACTTTTTAGGACATATACTTAAATTACTTATCTAAAACAAATATAATACATATTTATAGTAAAATAATTAAAAGTAAAATTATGTTAAGGACTTAATGAAAGGTCAGAAGTAGGCAATAATAATGATAAGTAATGTTTAAGCAAATTATATTTATACTGTAATTTATATGAAATAATATTAAGAATCATGCTATTGCAAAATGCTATGAAAAATTCAGAATATGATCATTATTCATGATATAAGAGAATATCCGAGAGCACTTTGGTCATTTAGCGTTTTTTCTGTAATCATTGAGCAAAAGAGATGAGGAAAGTCCTCTTAAATTCCCTCACCTGATTCTTGGGGGAAAGTGATGAGAAGATGAGAATTTTCTAATTTCCCTAAGTGGGGAAAAAGAAGAAAGAAAGAAAAATGTCAATTTTGCTTGGCTATTTCCAGCTGTACAGCATTAGAAATTCCTTGGGGATGATTAATCTTCGAGATTTTAGTATCTTGTGCCTAGTAAAGAATAAACAAAATATCTCTGAGGATTTAAAATTACTTTTGAAGAATATTACCCTATCCATCATATTCACTTAAGGAATTTTTTACTATAATAATAATGTGCTGAATCAGCTTTGCTGAATCTAACTTCTCTTGAATATCTTCATGCTATTTCACAAGTTCTAATTTTGTTGACCAAGGTAACCTAACATAAGTTTAAATATCTTTTGACACTATATTAATTGTTTTATAAATATTAAGAGCAGAAAATCCTACAGAAAAGGTTTCAAAGTCATTTGCCTAGTAATATAGTTTTTGTCATCACTTCAAAAATACATTAATAAGCGAGTAGTTTGTGTTCATTGATTGAGACAAATATTGCTATGTACATAAGACATTCAACTTATTTGGAATTTGGAAGCTTTATTTCAATCAATTCTATTGTATTTTTCTTATAAAACAAATAGCATTGCCTTTTAAAATCTAATCTAACCTCAGTTAAATATCATTCATTTAGTCTATGCTATAACCCAACTATAATTCTGAGATAATTCATACCTGGCTTCTATAGACCTAGGCAAAATATTGTTTACATATTATGTATTCAGCAAACATAGATTGACGTGATTGAAGTCTGAATTTATGTTACGGATTTTAAAAGGAATTGTTAATTGAGAAATGCAAGAATAATTTCAGGCAAAGTATATTCACTGATTGAGAAATAACTTATTAAATATTGACATAATAATCTATCATTATTGATATAATAAGTGATATATAGTAATATGCTTTTTATTGAAACATATATTTTTTACTTTAAGAATATTCCTAAAGATGCTATGCACTATTTGGTTTGAAAATTATAACTTGGTGTAAAAATTATGATCACTCTTTTAATTTTAACAAAATATCCAATTATTAATTTGATTATAGAATCAATTTTCTGTTAACTCAATCCAAATGGTCGATTCATGCTACCTAAGAGAAAGAAAATTTCTCTATAAAATTGAACAAAAGAAGCTCCAATGGTGGTTAAAGAAAAATACCAAAGAATTACTTTGTATTATATATGAGTAATAGAGAAAATTGACATAGAGAAGAGAGATGGGCAGACAGAGAAAAGGGAGGGGAGAGAGTCCAATGAAGATTCCACAGAATACAGAGTCTTGTGAAACACATAATAGAAAAAGCATAAGCTGTTGGGAAAGACTAACTTCAGGTGAAAGTAAAATTTGTACAGTATATACCTTAGGTTTATAACATACTTAAAATATGACCTTTGTCAAACAATAAAAGATAAGAAACTAAAACAGTGGATCAAGAGGAACTTAAAAAAAGAAGAAGAAGAAGAGCTCAGTGAGCTCAGGAGAGAGTGCAACATCCTAAGAACTAAAGTACCAAGGTAAAGGTTTTAGAAACAAAAGAACAAAATCCACACCATGGAAAAATAAAGCCAGCACTGTGGAAGAAAAATCTGGGTTATGTCTTACATCAAAGGGGAAAAAGATACAATATGATAGATTTTTAAAGCAGAACCTGAAAATGCAAAAAGAAAATGTATAAAACATAAAAAAGACCTATAAAGTTGTATGGATAAATATACATCATTCCTTCATTCAATATTAGCTAAATGAATCAGCCTTATAATTAAAGAATAATTGTCTGTTACCCAGTAAAATTTATTCCTTTAATACAATTTTAATTTAATATTATGAAATCTAATATAACTTACCATATCTCAGTAAAGTTAACTTTTAAAATTTTATCTACTAAAATATTGCTTTCATAGTAATTATGATATAAAACTCAAACTCTGATTTCAAATCCTGCCTTTATGATTTTCTTGCTGTATAACAGATCAAATTACTTAACTCCTTTAAATTTTCTAATCTATAATGTGGGGATAATAGTACCAAATACTTTATAGGAGTTAGAAGATTAATTCTTTATCTGCAGTGTCTAACATATATTATTGTGTTAATATTATTATCATCCTTACTATCATTTCTATTTACATCATACGAAACTGTTGAAAGAGCTGTATCAAATGATGAAATAAAAATGATCTTAATTATAAGTTCAAATAACTCTTTTAGAAGAACACTGAGACTTAGATGAAATTAATCTGAAAAACTATACTAAATGATAACATAAGACAAAACAATTAGGATTAAACTATAATCAGTACATGATTATATGCTATATTTGTTTCCTATGGCCGCTGTAACAAACAATAATCACAAATGTTGTGGCTTAAAGCAGTACAAATTTATTTTTTTATAATTATGGAGAACAGAAATCCAAAATACATATTATGGCAGGACAAAATCAAGATTTCAGTAGACTAGTTCCTTCTGAAAATTCAGGGGGAAAATTCATTTTCTTACTTATAGCTTCTAGAGGCTGCCTGTGTTATTAACTTGTAGAACTTTCCTCTGTCTTCAAAAGCAGCTAACATCTTCTCTACTTTGTCCACCTTCTTTCATGTATTAAATCTACTTCTGTTTCATAAAGATATGTGTGATTGCATTTTGAACCCACTTGGATAAATCTAGAAAGTTCTCTCCATCCAAAAATACTTATTAATTCCTGCAAATTCACAGATTCTAGAAATTAGGACACAGTTGCCTTTGGATCACGTCATGAAGAGCAAGTTAGGAAATGAAAAATGAAACACTGTAATGTGCTGCAAATTTTTATTAACAAAAAAAAAGTTGGAAGTGTTTGTCAAGGAGAAGCAAAATTGAAACAAAACCAAAAATATACAAAATAAAATTTCATGTTTTATTCTTAGGTGTTTTAAATGTGTATCTACGATTGAAAGGGCAGACAACAATAGAGAATCCATTATGGTCTTCCAGTGGGAATAAAGGACAACGATGGAATGAGGCTCATGTCAATATATATCCAATTACTTCATTTCAGGTAAGAAAAGAAGTCATTTCTGATCATAAATTACTGTGTTTGAGTGTAACATCAAAGGTAGCTTTTAAGCAAATAGTAAAGTATTCAGAAATTCTGTGATTTGAGTATCACACAAATTACATGGATAAGTTTCTCTTTAGTTCTAAAACCTCTCTTAGAAAAAGAAATGTCCCTTTCCCTTATTAATTAGCACATATTAAGTAATATGTTTGAATAATAATCTGTAAAAATTCAAGTGATTTTCCTGGACAAAATGTTATATATTTCTATAAAAACACATGTGTATATTTCATACAGTGAAAAAAAAAACAGTACTGGTTTTTATAATAATCGAACGTGGTAATCAATTCTCAATTAATCTGTTTGAATTTTACTTGATGGAATTTTATAGACTTTTAACAAAATGCATCTCTTTGGGATAATGCCCTTTCATTAATTTTTCACTTTTATCATCCTTGTTTTTCATAAAGAAAGGAAGTAAGGCTTAGGTTGATTATAAGAGAGTAATGATAACAGAGCACTTGCGTATCAGGTATGAGGCCCTGGCAGGGTTCAATCCCAGTACCACAAAAAAACAAAAACAAAAACAAAAACAAAATAAAAATAAATCATAGAAGTTTCACTGACTATAATAGTGGCCATCATAGCTAGAAACAATATAGCATAAAATTCTTTCCATAAGTTAATGACACAACTATAGTGATTCTAATAACTATATAACATATATACATATTCATCTTTATATATGCATATCTACATATATAATATCCAAATATTTATTTATTAAAAATATCCAAATATTTTCATATCTTTAAAAAGTAATTAAATATCTTTAACATCTATGAATTCATTAAATATAATCTATAGTACTATTCCTTATTTTGAAAGGATCAAAATGCATTTTATGACAACATATTCATACTCATTTGCATATATTTATAGCATTGAATGTTTTTTACTATTAGTGATTCATTAGGTGCATTTTATTGCTTATGTGGTAAGAGTATAGAAAATCAGAGACTACTTCAATTATGCTAATTTTTAATTAGTAGCACATCCTTTCTTGTAATATAATCTGTGAAAATCCTAATTGCTTTAGAGGTTAACTACTAAATGTAACCAGGATGATAAAAAAGCATACATTCCTTCACAGTGGTAAAGAATAAGAAAGTAAGTCTAGCTAATTATCTACAAATACATAAAAGCAACTCAGATCATCTGACTATGGGAAAATAGCAGAATTATTTATTTCTATGTAGGACAACACAGTTGTGAAAATTGACTCTGTGTCAATATATCATTAAACTAAATTCAAATGGGAAGACTGAACCCCAAAGCATTACTAATAAAGGTATCCTTAATATTAAACTGTTTATATATATGTAAGAATCAAAGAGACTTTCTTTATAAAGAGTTGATAGATGTTCTTCTATATATAATTTTGCTTCTTCTATGACTGCCTCCTCAAGGCAAAATTATTAAATCAAATACAGATAAAACAAGGACTTAAGAGAATAGTTATACTAATATTGCCTTCAGGATAATCTTGTATTGACATTTCTATTACTTTAATGAACATACACGGGGTGCCTAGATAAAAATCATCTACTCCCATAGACAAGAATTCAAAAATACTTTTGGGGTTTCTACAGGTACATTTTTAGGCATCAGGATAAAAAATTGTTTGTTTATCTAGATTGGTGGAAATACACATCTAAATACATAAGTCATATGCTGTAATAACTGCAGTAATAGAGATATACCTAACAACAAGAACAGGGAGGAGAAACAAGAACATCTTATTGTATGAGGTGAAACCTGAACTGAGAGGAATTGCAAAGCAGAGAAAGGAGTTCACTCAGCAAAGTGCTGATCAAGTCAGGGTCATACTACAGAATCTGCCAGAGAGAAACAATAATGTTTGGGTGGAATCAGTACATAAAAAGTAGTCATGGACTGGTGAGTGATGAGGTTAAGGAACAAAGGAGATTAGGCCGTGAGGAGTCATGAAAGATTTTACTCAGGAGATGACATAATGCGTGACTCAGCTTGTTGTTTTAAGGTAATGTGGTGCTTAGTATGATGGCTTGTGCCTATAATCCCAGCTATTTAAGAGGCTGATGCACGAGGATCATAGATTCAAGGCCGGTCAGGGCAATTTCCTTCATTGATTCAAAGAGGGAAAAGGGGCTGGAAAACCAGGACATCTTTGTAATGTACAAATAAAATAGGTTGAAAGGATAAGCTAAGGAATTGGTACAGACAAGATGATGAATTTCAAGATATACTTGTATGTAAAACCTAACAGAGCATTTTTTGTTTGAAATTTTGTAGGTGGAAATGTAGAAATGCATGAATAACAATTTTCAAACTAGGGAGTCTTGAGCAATGTTCATGCTTATTATTATTATTATCACTATTATTTATTTTTATTTGTATCTTGTTACTGGGAAATGAACCCAGGGATGCATTTTTATTCTGAGACAAGATCTCACTAAATTGCCCAGACTGGCCTTAACCTGTGATCCTTCTGCCTCAGTCTTCTAAGTAGCTGGGATTACAAATGTGTACCATCACATTCAGGAACAGATTACCTTTAGGAAAGAGAGAAAGAGAGAGAGAGAGAGAGAGAGAGAGAGAGAGAGAGAGAGAGAGAGAGAGAGAGAGAGAGGGGGGATTCAAGGATGAATATGTTTACTTCTATATTAGACATTTTCTAAAATTGGTAGAATATTATTTTTTAAACCTGCAAGGGGTATTGTAGTTTATGATTATCTGAAGTTTAGGGAAATACATATTTGTAAGTCTTAAGATTATATATGCTAACAAAGATATAAGAATGGTTGATATCAACAAGGAAAAGTATACACATAAAAAAAGTGACTAAAGGATAGAACCATATATAGCACTAACTAATCATTAATCATTAAGATGAACTGAAAGAGCATCCCACCAAATGGTATGTTTTTAGAGTTAATTGGAAAAAAATTCAGACATCCATGAAATTTAAAGAAGATGATGGAACTCAATTTGAAAAGCAGATTTAGTCCAATGGGACTGTTCCTTAGAATGTAACTGGTAAACAGAATGGTTTCATCTGAGTCATAAACATAAGAAATCTTTTATAAGTGGATAGTGTCCAGTCTTGTGAAATTTGGATAAAGTTGTAAGGAAACTGGAAAAATCACCATATTAATTAAAATGGTTTTACTGTGCAGAATCAATAGCATTACCTATAGGTGAATATAAAACTATTGCATTTACTCAAATAGTTTTTTTCTATAATTTTTTGTTCATATTAGAAAGAGTTCCAATTGTGTTTATTTTATTTTATATTGTTTTTGCAAGTGAACCAGGTTCATTATTCAAAATGCAAGAGGAAGAATCCAGAAGGAAATGTCCTGGAATATAAATAATGAGAGGGTTTCTATAGGGTAAAGAAATAAAAGAGGCAAAATGCTACATTCAAGTTTGATGTTGCAGACTTATACAAGGGAGTTGCTTTTATTTGTGATTTGGCCCATTTTATTCCATTCTGGCCTGTTTCCAGAAATGCTTATTTAAAAAGTTAACTTTTTGTTACCAGAAAGCATTTTTTAATTTATACTGGTCAGTATAAATTCAGAGCAGAAAGTTCTACACTTCACTGCAAATGGCAATGTGTTGTCTAGAGCCACAGGTATTTATGTACTCAATTACAAAAAGACATGTATAAGAAGGAGATATTCAAGAATGTTCAAATGTATAAAAATTTTATTCATAATGGTCCAAACTTTGGAAAGCTCCTCTCTGCTGCACTCAGCCCTTCTCATTCCAACCTTGAACTCAGAGTGGCCTTCCATAGTTGGTTCTCAGCATGATTACCATTTCTGGGGCTTTTTGTACCTGTTGATAGTTTTTTAGAAATGAAAATTTTATTTTCATTTGGTATCAATTTTGTTTTGCCTAAAGGACATTCCTTAGCATATCTTGAAGTACAAGTTTATGAAAGATGAATTCTTTTCACTTTTTAAAAAAATCTATTTAAACTGCATTTAAAAAAAAAATTTACTCTGAGTACAACATTCCTACTTTCCTTTCAGAATTTCAAAAATATTCTACTTTCTTGTTGGTATTGTTTTCAAGTATGTATCTGTGTATATGCTTGCATTTATTCTTCTGTATGTCGTGTGAGTTTTCTTTGTGGTTGCTTTTAAGATTTTATTTTATCACTAGTTTTGAGAAATTCAATTATCACATATATGTTTTGGTTTATTTTTAATCTTTTATTTGCTTGGGGATCATTGAATTTCTGGATCTGTGGGCTTATCATTTTCATAACAGCTGAGGATTTTCTAGTTAATATTTATTCACATATTTTTGCTCCCCTTCTCCAAGCCTCCAATTATACCTATATAAAGACACTTAAAGATGTTAAACAACTCATGGACTTTTTCTTCCAGTTTTTCTATTTGGTTTTAATTTGGGTAGTTTCTACTGTTTTTATATTCACTAATCATTTCTTTTATGATATCTATCTTTAATCCTATTCAATGTTTTCTTCATCTCAACCGTTTGGCCTCTCACCTCTATAAATTCAATTTGAGTCTTTTTACAGAACATCTTTATTCTTTAGTTAATGTTTTGAGCACATGAAATCCAGTCATTGTAACTATTTTAGTTACTATCTGCTAATACTAATATTTATATCAATTTTTAGTTGGTTTCAGTTTATTGATTTTTCTTTTCTTTATGGGTTAATATTTTCTTGATTTTTGCAAATATGGTAATTTGGGTGCCAGACATTATAAATTTTACATTGATGGGTATGGGATGTTTGTTCATTTCTCTAAATATTCTGGAGCTTTGGAGGAGTGTGGTTAAGTTACTTAGAAACAGTCTAATTGTTTTAAGTCTAAATTTCCAAATTTAAGTGAAACTAGAGGGTGACTCTCTATATGTGTTTCTGTCTCTCTCTAATGCTTTCTTTCTGATATTTTGTTCCCTGGATATAATCCAGC